ATCAATCGTTCTTTGAGTAGGTGCACATGCTCGTGCAGCACATGACCGAACCGGTCGGAGACACAGAGAGCCAGATGTGGACGCTGCATCATATTCGCATGCTGTGTGATCTCCCGCCATCAGCTACTCTAACCAGACTGTACATGTAGAGGGCAACACCTAAGTTCACACTATTTCACCGTACCAGTAGTTTAGTTATCATTCTACCTAACAGTTGCTTCACTATTGCTATATCTGGTTCCTTCAAATATGGATGCCCAAGATTTGAGGCTGTCACGTCTAAATGTTGAAGAAAACATCAGCAGTTCGTATTCGGGAACTTTTTGTCATGCCTGCGAGTGATTGTTAGCCTGACCTCCAAACGAAACCCATACACGTTTGTCGTACCATCGATGATGATGTCTAATGTGTCTCTATCCAGTATGTGACAGCTCACACTTGATTTGGAAACTGACTGCGAAGAACCTCAATTAATTACATCAAAATCCCCCTACTCATGAGTACATCAAAATATATTCGCCCTGGCAATTTCTAAATGCTATGTCGTACACAGCTACTGTTAGTGGACGTCGTGTCTCTCGGGGCTAACCCTGTCCTCTGCAACTTTCGTAACTTGCAAGGCAGTGGAGGATAAGACGCGCTATATTGCAGTTAGTTTGTAAATCATGACGGTCCGAAGCTGTCCCCCGTGGCCCAGTGGCATAAGCTGTTGACTGCCGATTCAAGCTAATAGTGGTCATGGGTTCGAATTCTGATGGATCCGATGGATGCGCACTACTGACCATGCCCAACAGGCTGAAACTACAGTCTAGTGCTTTTCCGGGCATGTGGATGACTATCTGATTTGGAAACTGACTGCGAAGAACCTCGAAAATAACATTACCAGAACATGAAGGAGGTGAGTTTATGACAAACTCATGTTGATTACAGGTGTTGCGAATGCAATTCCAATGTTGATCAATGCGAATTACGTGGACTACTATAAATGGTGGTTGCTCAGGTGCTGCAGAAGGCACTATTGCACGCGGAATAGCAGCATGATGCGTACGCTCCCATTCGATTTACTAATCCAGGCCAATAAGGCGGCGTATATGGTACGCTTGATTGCGTGATGAGTAATCTTGAATTTCAGAAGTAGATGTTGTTTGAGCTCCACGGTGTGGATGCGCTTGATGTGCATGTTGACAAGGTACCTACCTGTCTATTACCAAATACCTCGTTCATACTGGCTCCAGGAGACAGTTTGTGGTTGCTGGAGGTTCTTTTTGCGTGGAAACGCATAAGTCTTCCTTCACTAACAAGGCACTGAAGGTAAACAATTGTTTTCGATGAATTCCTCGTCAGACCTGTACAATCATATGGGTAAACCGCAACGTCCATACTGGCTCCAGGAGGCAGTTGGTCGTTGCTGGAGGGGACGGGGTGCACGGTCCTTGTGGCCGTGTTAGGATCAAAGAGTGGTTCCATGCACTCAGTGTGGAACGGACTACGGTCCAGCCACCGCCTTGTGTGTGCGCTTGATTCCCAAATACAGCGTGCTTGTGTTTGCTTGTGAAGGATTGTGGGCCGGCTCCGTTGATGAAACCTGGCTCCCATCCACATGCCGCCCGGTCTTATTCCTTCGGGTTTACACTGGATATGGGGTATGTGGTTGTAGCTGTGGGTGGTGCAGCGCAAGCCACTCATGGTCTCTCTGTAGGCACAGGCGTCCTGTGGTTGGCCACAGTGACAGGCAAATCCGAAACCGGATGCCGCCAACCATATATATATATATATATATATATATATATATATATATATATATATATATATATATATATATATATATATATATATATATACTGCTATTGTATTGGCACTGATGAGACAATACGAAATGTTGACATCTGCCACTTTTCGTCATCTCACTGAGTTATTTAAACTGCTAAAGGGATCTAACGGTTCTACAGTTGAAACTGGTTTATTCAACTCAATGGTAACGGGAAACAGCCGAGTGAAGTTGTGTTGTTGCACATCGCTGGATACTTGAGGACACCGAACTCCGATTACTGTGTAAATATTGTGAGTCGGCAATGGAACTGCCAGCTACCGTCAGGAGAACACATGATTCGCACGTAAATGTGTGTTGGAACAGCACGACCGCTATTTGGATGATAGACGACGATCCTCCGGGTCGACGATATACATCAGCACTACAGAAATGTGAGGTGCGATGTTAGAAATCAGAAATTTGTTTATCCGCGTCATATTGTTGTGGGGTTGGTTACGAAAAGAGAAATATTCTAAAGCATCACAGGAAAAAATTGAACGTGACGAACGTTTGTGCAAAACTGTATCGAACTTTTCCTCACGCTTAGTGCATCGCGTCTTTTAGCACACACTTCTACTCCCTAACACAGAGAGAACAGAAGGAGCAATCTTTTGCAAGAGTCAGACATGGTAAACGTAGCACTCTACACCTGGCTTACATTTTTTGGTTGCTAACGGTCGAACCTGGATACTTGTGGCTTCCCGACAATCGGTTTTTGCCCTAGATCACAGAGCAGTCTGCTTCGGGCTTTGCAGCACAAGCCTGGCTTTGGGAATGCGATGCACACTATCAACATGGACTACCGTGAACACAACAAAATCCATAAACGAACCACATCGTTACTACAACAACTTCCAGCACAGCTGACAGGTGAAGAACCACCATTTTCCTCGTCTCCAAGATGACGTATCCAGAAGGCCTCGAATGTAACCATGCACTGCATTAGTACACACTTTACCCAACCCCATCACATAACCTCACCCCATTGCGACATAGAGCTAAGATGAACTGACTCTTAATGACGAATCTGGTTGTATTATTTGGAGTACTTCAGCTGCATGATGACAACAAATGCATCCTATTTTGTTTTATACTACTGAAGTGAAAAAGAACCCTATATTTCGCGTCGCACACGAATGCTCACCTCAGTCCAAAACTGATGATCGTTATTATAGTTTCTTCCTAATGACAAAGAGAAGAATGTATATTCCCGGCTGAAGTAGACACGCCCTTTTCTCTGTGACCGTTTCTAACTACTTTCCAACCGATCAACAACCGTCTGACAGGGGAATGCAAATAGGTTTTCGTGAGTAACATGACATCTCGGAGTTTTCACTGCATTCGTATCGCTATGGTTCTGTCGAATCTCGTTGAACTCTGGAGATGAGAGTTACTGTAGCGCGGAACAGTGCTGCACGTCTGTGGAGGACATTTGCAAAAATACAGCATTTGTTCTGTGACTGAGGGTGTTTAATTACCGAGTTCGCGCCAAACAACAAGCGACACTGTATGTCAGCAAATCCAGTTTCGTGTGCTTCAGGGCAACTGTAATGAATAGAGTAACCACAAAATTGCACGCGTATTACCCAATTTGAGTAGTAACTTTGCTTATCATATGGCGTAAAAGAAATGGCATATTGGAAAAAGGGACGAGGATTATAACACAGATTCCTCTGGCATCTCCTTTACAGCCAGACTTACGTACGTGTGCCCTAAGATAGGCATGACTGAGTTAAGATACAACCTAACAGTGTGAACAGTGGGGATGGGGATCCGAGCCTTTTTCTTGTCTGCCTCCGTGACGACATGGCAGACTCCAAGTTAACAGCTGAATACTTATGAAGAGAGAGAATAAATAGGTCGAGTCCGGTCAGACGTTTCAGCTATTTATGGTACTGCTCCGCCTAAGCATTTAGGATTGACCTTGACCTGGTGTTACCGTCGCTTACCTTTCATAAGCGACCCGATGTTATCACCGAGACGCTGCGTCACTCAGATAGACTTCCAAATACTGTACACTCACAAGCGGCTAGCCTTCGTATCGTTGTCTTCGTATACAGTTTTGTCATTCCGCACACTGTACATCAATACCAGAAGAGAATACGCGAAAGAAGTAAATTCAGATCATTTTGTTGTAATGTGGCTCCATCTCTCTGCCGCGCGATCTACGGAGGGAAACTCTTGCATGAAATTTGCTTCGAGCAATTACCGTGGCACTGACGAAAACGGCCACACTTCCTGTGTCATAATCCGCCTGACGCCACAAATAGCTCAGCGTCAAACATGCCTTGAACATGTTACTCGGTTACGATAAGTCATCAAGCATGCCGTTAGTGCCGGTCGCGAGCCATCTACTGCACCGTCTTGAGCGAAATGCTGAGGGATAACCTACACCCCACCTTAGCAGTGCATAGTGACCAAAACTACTCTAGCTGTCGAAGTAGACAAAGTCCCACTTCATGACTGGTAGGTGGACATGGCAAACTAGCGAATGCACATTTGTTTATCGATCTGACAATTTGATCTGATGACCGCCGTTTGTCATGCACCTGTTGTTCTCTCTAGACCTTTACCTTGTGATCAACAACTGAGTGTGCCGTAGTATGTACACTTAGTTGTAGTCCTTCTCGAACTTGGTTAGCCGTCTACGTTACATGAAGCGATAGTTGGACCCCGTAGTTTTACTTGAGTGGAGGTGATTTGAATAGGGTGAATTATTGAATCAGTGCTATGAGTGTTATATTGTCTGCACAATTGCGGTGTGTCAAGTTCGTGCAATATTTCTTGATGCTGGCCACAGTTTTCATTTAGGCTTTGTGAAACCGACGAAGCTCACGGTCTTCAGCGTACCTACACTCTCTGGTGTTCTACCTTATAGAGGCCAACCAGTTCGTCGTACCTGAGAGATTGGGGGGATTAGACGCCGATGTCAGAACTGGGGTTCGGTTCTCTGCGAATTCATATTTTTCACTTTCGCCGTCACTTATATGCCCTGAAAATCGTTGATGGTCCTGTTATCTACCATAAATTTTATGTCTCAAGTCTATGTTTTGTGTTTCCATTTTCGGTGTGATCCTATTTTCTCACTGTCTAGTGCCCACTGTTTCCTTGCGTTCGTGTTTGTGAAGTCACGAACGTTTAGACCAGTTAAAGTATGTTCATCTCTATTCTTCACCCACCGCCATACCAGACTTACGTGGTCAACTCAATGTCGATGAGGAAACCGCACTGCCTTGGGCGACGCTGCATCAAAAGCACAATGCTCAGGTGGCTAATCGGACAGGAGGCGAAAATTTCTACTCCGCACTCTGCAACACCGGACTCAACGCTTCACAAAACCTACCCCCTATGTGGTCCCCGGCGGAGTGTCAGCCTGACCAAACAGTGGCTATCATTATCCCGTATCGGAATCGTGAGATACATTTACGGTTGCTTGTGGATCACATCACTCCGATGCTACGCCGCCAGCTCACCAAGTACACCATGTTTGTGATTGAACAGGTAAATTGAGCGGTACATACCTCATTTATACACAGTATCCTCTAACTTTGCAGTATGCCATTTCGACGTTTCACATTTGACCTAGCTAATTTATATACTGCTCCCGCCGGAGTTGAAGGCTAACCCAAAAGTACTTCGATCTTACCAGTAGGGATTTTTCTTCTCTCCTATTGCATCCGCAGCAATCGCAATGAACCGCTGGTCTACCTTTTGATTTTTCAAGGCCACAGCACAGGAACAGTTAGGTGTCAAGTTCGTGTGTACAGCGGACTTTCGCACCCCTTTAGGATCCCAAGTGGCTTTAGACAGGCTTGTCCCGCAACGCCCTTCTCATTCAACTTCACTATGGTTGACATCTTGAGGAGTGTGCTTAGGTATTTGTGACTGGTATTTGTGGCTTGGAGTATACTGACGACATCGCCGTAATCTGTGACTCCTCGCTGGCTACCCAGGACATGTTGCGCAATTTAAAATGTTTGTATTACAGTTCAGAATGATGTTTATCCCTTCCATGTGCAAGGTTTTCCTCTAGGACTGGTTAGAATCGGCTCCTCCCCTCAGCTACTCCGGCTTTTTCGGAAGTAGTCGATAAGTTCGTCCGCCTTTAGGGTTGCATGAGCGTGAACAGTGACGAATGAGATCAGTTAGAAAATCACCAAAGCCAGAGTAGCCTTTGCCAAACTCCGACATCTCTAACGTTGACGTGCCCTCAGCCCTTCAATAACTTGTCGAACTTACAATGCTACAGTGTGAATAGTGCTCCTGTATGCCTGCTAGACTCGACCCGTTCGAGCGAGCGATGTCCAGAGACCGTGTATTTTTGATCACCGCTGCTTGACAGCATCGCATTAACAATGACGATGTTCAACGTCGGATCTGCAAGTCAGACTGCGTAGCATCGTCTTGTGTACGCTCCGGTGACTCAAGCACGTCTTCCGTATGCGTGTTTGACGGTTGCCCCGCTGCGTTGCGTTTGAATGTACTCGCGACAAAAAGCTGATCAGCATACAACCTGTGTTCGGGATGTCAAACCACTGACATTGCAGTCGGCCAAGGTGGGACGTTCCGGACTCCCTGGTCGTGGGCCCAAGGACAGTGAGCAAACCTGGTTAGCAGCTAAACGGGATATGATATTACTGATGAGTAGTGAGGATTTTGGTATAATTCAGCTAATGGGGATATGGTTCAATGGCGAACGCGTTGTGAGACTCTCCCCAGCCTGTATGTACTCTCATCCTAGGATTTCTTGCTGTTGCCCATGTTGTGGTACCCTGCCAACTGTTTTATATGCATATATATATATATATATTATATATATATATATATGGTTGGCGGCATCCTGTTTCGGATTTGCCTGTCACTGTGGCCAGCCACGGGACGCCTGCGCTCACACAGAGATCATAGATGGCTTGCCCTGCACCACCCACAGCTCCAACCACACACCCCATATCCAGTGTAAACCCGAAGGAATAAGACCGGGCAGCATGTGGATGGGAGCCCCGTTTCATCAACGGAGAAGGTTATGTAAACGTCTGATGTGCGCTCGAGATTATTATCAATTGAACATTTCTTGATTCACCATCAGACGCTCAAGACATTAAACTATGTGCACACTACACCTTCCGTCATTTTCACTAAACCGTCGGACCAAACGAAGAGTGCACGACCTAATGCCGTAGCCATGATTAAGTGCCTCAAAACTACCAAGGCAACTTGCGGGCTGGGGAAGGGACCTACATACGCGCAGGCGAATGACTAAAAACAGCTGCTTGTGGTATTCGTCTGCTGGAAGATTCCGAACGTTTCCATGGATTGCAACATACCGGGGGGCTGGACTGCAAGCAAATGTCTTGTACGCTGTCTGGATACTTTCAACACGACCACCTAGTATGGGACGGAGTTGGATGGATGATGCGTCTGATTAACACCAAATGAAGAGTTGCATTTGGTTGTCATAAATACCGGTATAGAATTGAGTCTGAGATAAGCGGATGGACAGAACACGAGTGTGAGATGCCTTTTCGCAAATTACTGAAAACAAAGTGGGAACTCAAAAAGTTACCAAAGATATACAATTCGCGGCATGCGGTTCCGGATTTGCTTGTCACTGTGGCCTCCACGGGGACAACCACAGGACGCCTGTGCCTGCGGAGTGACCATGGATGGCTTGCTTTGCACCACCCACAGCTCCATCCACACACCCCATATCCAGTGTAAACCCGAAGGAATATGACCAGGAGGCATGCGGATTGGAGCCACGTTTCATCAACAGAGCAGGTCCACACTCCTTCAAAAAGCAGCACTCCTTCAAAGCAGCATTCCTACTTAAAATCTCGCGCACCAAGGCGGTCGCAGGGCTTTAGCCCGTTCCACACAGGATGGAACCACGTTTTGAAATTGGCGCAGTCATGAGGACGGGGAATTCCGTCCCCGCCAGCAACTACCGACCGTCTCCTGGAGCCAGTGTGGACGGGGTGTTGAGTAATAGACAGGTAGTCACCTTGTCAACATTCACGTCAGGCGCAACCGCACCGAGGAGCTCAAGCAACATTTTACCTCTGAAATGCAAGAATACTCATCACGCAGGCAAAGATACAGCATCCGTCGCCATATTGGCCTGGATTAATAAATCTTGTTTCTATTCCGCGTGCAATAGTACCTTCTCCTTCACCTGGGCAACCACCCACTTGCTCAGTCCACGGAATTCGCACCGATCAAATTTGTCTTGGATTCGCAACACCTGAAATCAACATTAGTGTGTCATAAACTCACGTTTTTCATGTCCTGGTAATGTTATTTTCGGTTTGCCCGAGTGTCACTTCTCTGCACTAAGTTAGCCGTATAAAAGCTCTAAAAGTCTTCTCCTCGATTTCATATTGTTTACATATATACATGGATTGGTGTCATCCGCGTCCAATGGTAGTTCGAATACATGTGCACATGCGTTTGTCCACACTTAAGTATGAACTGCCACAAACTGCAGAGATACACATTAAACCTCATGAAAAATAGTACTACAAACCTGCATGCATATTTATCTATTTCTTGCTGGGTCATCTTTTTTTCTACCCTGAGGATGCACACACACACACATGTCCCTCAGTCATTCTAATCGTGTCATAGGATGAGACGCACAACCAATGGAAGGAATAGAGAATAGTGATAAAACGTCACACTATGCGCCTCTGTTCATATACTACCACTTCTAGAAATATTTGACTTGATCTCCTTGTTGAAAGTCTTCTGTAACACCGTGTGCCGTTCGCCGTAGTTGTAGGGAAACAAGTACCATTTACTGGTTACTGGTTGGAAGCAGCAAGAAGAGTTTGCTCTGTGTCGCTATAGCTAATGTCACTCAGGTACAAAGACCCGTTATGTTAGAGTGCGTTCGATATATTGTATTTCGGCAAGGTCTTTGTCCAGCAATGTCTTAAGTTCCGACACCAACTCTGCCTCAACTACGTGCTGCGACAGGTTGTTCCATACATTCACCACTCCGCATTCGAAACAGAGTTGATGAGTGACCCGCTTCAAATCCGATACGACTAGCTTGTACCGGTGTCCTTGTGTGCTGCTTGGTGTGCGCAGATGAAACAGCTGCCTCAAGATGGGGTAATCACCCACATGTAATATCCGGTGCGTCATGGTGAGGTTAACCCGCAGTCGACGACAAGCTAGGGTCTAAAGCCCCCAGTTTCCTACACCGGTCTTCGTACGGCACACCTCGTAAGTTGAGAATCAGCCTGGTGGCTACATGCTGCACTCGCTCAGGCTTTTCTACCTCCCCCGAGTGATAGAACAATACTTGTGACAGCCATACTCTAGCATTGGTCGTATTGTTGAGAAGAAGAGGCGAGTCGCAATCCCTTCGGACCAAGTGCTGAAGTTGCTCCTGAGCGCCCAAAGCATACGAAAGCTGTTTTGGTAAAGCCTATTCGTGTTGTCCATGGACTTTAGGTCGTATCGTGAGAGTACACCGATATATCGTACGAAATGCACGGGATGCAACGGTTGACCGGCCACCGTGTAGGTTCGACTGTGCTCACATTTACCCAGCTTCATGCATTGTGACTGGACCGGATTGATCGGAAGGTTGACCTCTGCAGACAACGTGGAGGGTCGGTCGAGGTCCTGTGAAGCAGGTCACAGTAATTGGGTGTGCGGATTACTCTCCACACCTTCAAGTCATCTGCGAACGACGCACAAAATGAATGGAGTAGCTGAGGCACATCGTTTACATGGATCAGAAAGAAAATCGGCCACAGTACAGTGCCTTGGGGCACGCCACTGCTCGATGGATACCAGTCGGTCAAATGGTTGTAGACCTAGACCCCCCACTTTCGAACAACAAAGAAATTTTTGATCCATCGGTACAGCGAGCTGTCAACACCGCACACTCTCAGCCTGTCGAGGAGCACTGCATGCTTCACTTTGTCAAAAGACTTACTGAAGTCAATGTAAATGACGTCGACCGACTTACTTTGGTTCAGCGCTTGCAACCATTCCTGCTTCGTTAACAGTGGGTTGGTGATGCACGAGCGACTTTTCATCAAACTATGCTGTGCGGGCGTCAAGAGGCTTTTCGACTCGCGAAGCTGCAGAAGGCTCTCCTTCACGATCTTCTAGAGTGTCTTGTCAGACAGCGGTGAGGCAGATCGTCCAGTATTTATCCACTTTGCTTGGATCACCATCTTTCGGTATTGGCTTTACAACTGAGAATTTCCAGTCGCCCGGTAATAGTCCAGTGGATAGTGACCTGTTGAATAGCTCAGTTACAGAAGGTGAGATGATGTCCGATAGAGACTTGAGGATCAGTGGGTGGATTCCATCTGGCCCAGCAGGCTTCGTCCCGTCAAGACTTGCTAGGAGCTTCCGTACATTTTCAACGCTGAAATCCAGGCTGTCAAGTTCAGCGGAGGCGGTACTCGTCGAACTCGGTGCAGACACCTTGTCACATACAAATACGGAGGCGAAGTGCGCCGTGTGATGGGAGTATACAC